AGGAGCTTGGCCGGGGTGGTGGTGGTGGGGGCGGCACACACCTGGTGCCCTGCTCAGGCGGACCTCAGGGGACGTTCACCTGCCAGTTCTGTGCGGGCGCCCTCTGGGGGCAGCAGAGGCTAATGTCCGTGTCCTGCGCTCCAGAGCTTGCAGTTTGGCAGAGGGAGGAGAGCCCTGTAGGGAAGGTGGACTGTGACCTGAGACGCCATGGACACAGCTGAGTGAGGGGGGACGGGAATGCCCGGAGCTGTGGGCAGGATGTGGCTGCCGCTCCATGGGGCCTGGACGGGGATGGGCAGTGAGATAAGGCGGCATTGAGGTGTGAGGGGACAGTGGCATGTGCCAGGATCCCAGAGGTTGAAGGGACTGTGAGCAGTGGCAGTTCGACCAGGGCTGTGGTTTTCAGAGTCAGGCTTCTCAGGGTCTCGGCCGCGTGACCCTGTGCAAGAGATGAACCTCTGTGCTTCGGGTCGTCCCTCTGTCGGGTGTGGTAGGACCTGCCCCTGGGGCTGCTGTGACGTGAAATAAGCCAGCGCTCAGCAAGGCTCGCCCAGTTAGTGGCAGGAGTGTCGTCTGTCATCGTGAGCTGCAGTGGGTTCTGTCCCCTGGGGCATCTGGGTCCTTGGCAGGCAGGCCCTTGGTAATTCAGCGGAGCCCCCGTCCCACTTCACGCAACCTCGGCTTTGGCTGCCTGGGTTTTACCGACAGGCCAGGGCCATCACGTGCAGAGGCCCGGAGGAGAGCCGGCGGGCTGTGGCAGCCCCTGGCGCCTGGCTTTTACGCTGGGACTGTTAGCAGTGATTGGTACGACGGGCGGGCGCCCAGCAGAACCCCAGTAGCCCCCCACCTAGCTCACATGATGCAGAGAGCGCCCCTCATTAAGCCCTGGTGCCACCCGTAACCCGTCTGCAGAGCACCGGGAGGGGGGCCGGCCTTTGGGCTTTCCGTTTTCAGAAGAGCAGCAAAGCCGACGTTACCTGCCGTGGTTTATGGGCCTTCGGAAGAAACGGCTTTTCTCTGCGTGAAGTGTCCGATTCCACAGGTGCTCTGTTAGAGATGGGATCCTAGGGAGGCAGAGGTGGAGCGGGCCTCCTCTAGACTTGGGGTTCTGCAGGGAATCACTTTCCTGACGCCCGGAGCAGCCGGCCTCGTCTCCCTTCCCGCCGAGCTGGGCTGTTCTGGACGCCCTTCCTGCACCTCCTCCCTGGGAGCCAGCCTCACCTTGGGGTGCCCTTCGGGAAGACGTAGGTGAGCACGGTGCCTCAGAACCCGGACCCTTAGCAGCCGCTGCGGCCAGGTTTACCTGAGCCCCCCTGCTTCCCTGAGGACGTGCCGTTGTCAGATACAGTGAGGGCGGGCTTCAGGACCCACCTTCCTACTGATCTGAAGACAGGGCCGCCCCCCCTGCTCTTCCTGACTCAGAAAACTGACCTGTCCGTGCCACCCCTTTGCTGGTTCCCGGCCCCCACACTGATGCCTCCGTCAGCCCGGGGGGTGTGGTGGCAGCGTTTCTTAGGATAAATGTTATTTATTCTGGCGCTTTTATTTATTGTAAATGTATTGCTAGCGGGTGTAGAGAGAGACAGCGGGCGTGAGCGCACCCCCAGTGGGACTCGGCCACACCACGTCCCTCCTCTGTTGCGCCGTCCTGTCGGGACGGAGGAGCGCCTGCTCCCCTATGTGCTTCCACGCAGTCAGCCGTGTGAGGCTCACCGCCCACGCTCAGGCGACCCTGCGCTACGGGCCGGCCCTCGAAGGCCTCTGCCTGGGCTGGCGTCGTGGCTGGGACGGGAACCGTGGTGGGCACCTCGTTATCCTCCCCCGGGGAGAGCGCCCTCCTCAGCCCCGTCCCCTGGGTGTGCGCATAGGTGACTGGTCAGTGGTACACTCAGGAGGGGCTCGGAGCGTCACCCCGGCCCAAGCCTCCTGCAGCGAGCTGCACACAAACAGCCCCGGTGTTAGCTGTGAGTGACGCTCCTCCAGCCTTCATGGGAGCACTCAAAAGATGCTCCGAAGAGGCAGCCCTTGGGCCTGTTCTTGGTGTTAATAAACCAGTTTGAAATTTCACCCATTCAGTCAGTTTTCCAGAAGTTAGCTCAACGGTGGGCTCTCCCTCCCTCCCTCGCGCGCAGCGTCCACGCCAGGCCAGCCTCTCCCGGACCTCCCGGCCCACTGTGGGGAGAGTCCAGGGCGGGGAGGGCCACACCGCCCCGGGAGGGTTGGGCGGCCCCGAGCAGCACTCTGGAATGTTCACTGCCTGTTTCCTGCCTGTTCCTGCCCACAGCGTGTTTCTGGACGATTTTCTGGCGGCCAGGACCGGCGAGCAGGCCCCCCAGCTGGAGTTTGAGCAGCTGCCCTTCAGCCACCCGCTCTTCATCATGTTCTCGTCGGGCACGACCGGCGCACCCAAGTGCATGGTGCACTCCGCCGGGGTAGGCGCCCCCGCCTGTGGCCCGGGCTTCCTGCTCAGAGGCCGCGAGGCCCCCAGCCAGTGGTGGCAGCTGAGTCGTCACCTGCCTCATCCTGGAGGTTCTGTACCTAGAAGCAGGTCACATTCCTTCCCCTGGAAAAGAGACACACTGGAATCATTTAAATCTTATATAGCTTTTACGGGGGAAGATTTATTTATTTAATTTTATTTATTCAGAGATAGACAGAGACAGAGAGAGAGAGAGGGAGAGAGGGGAAAAGCGAGAAAGCAAGCTGCCAGGTCCAGAACTCAAACCCTGGTCAGCCATGTGGGAGCGTCCCGCGCCTTAGCCACCATGGCTGCTGGTCCCGAGCCTTATGTAGCTTTTTACAGCGTGTCTGCATCAGGGCAAGGAAAGGAGTTAGCACGCTTCGCGATTACCTGGGGCCGGTTCACCGGAGATCCGGTTGTATGAAACGTACGCTCAGACGCCGAGAGAGCCTGTCGGTGCCCTGGTGACTCTGAGACGCCACGAGGGGCGGGAGGCAGGAGGCACGCCAGGCCGACGCACCAGTTCGGGAAGCCACGCCGGCCGGACCCAGCTGCCCTTCTGTAGGCAGAGTCCCCGCCACTCACGCCGCCTCGTACTGTCCGGGCGTTGCTGGCTGTGGGGGGGCAGCCTGGTCCACCTGGCAGGGGCCTGTGAACGGGCCGATGGCTGAACCTTTCAGAACCCTCACAGGCAAGGCCGGGGTGTCCGGGCAACAGCAGACATTCCACCAAAAAAATGGGAAGGGGTAACCGCGCTTTCGGCTTTAGTGTTTTTGCATAGTGAATGTCTTTTTTAGGAGAGGAACATAAAAATGTATTAGGTGTAATGTAGTTTGCTCCTAAAATGATCATGCCAGTATGTTTAGAGTGTGGGACAGAATACCAAGGAACTGTCTTTATCCCTCCTCCCCTGGGCTGGTCTCCAGAGAAGTGGTTGAACCTCTTTCTGTTTCCAGAGTGGTCTGGACAGGAGCTGGGAGGCGGCAGGTGGGGACGGGCCGCAGGTGGGACTGCTCAGTGCCCTGGTTCGTCAGGGCGGGGCTTGTGCTACTAGTCTGTGGTTCGTGTCTTCCAAGTGCTGGGAGGTCTCAGTTTTCCTTTTCCCTATTTTAATTTACTCTCTGTATCAAGACCCACAGAAAGCGTCCACCCTTCTGTACCCTCAGGAAAAGCATTCACACCTGGCCATAAATACTTTTTAAGTGAATGGAAAAATAGTCGACGTGAACGGTTGAGATTCATGGAGAGGGGCCAGCAGGTGGCGTGGTGGTTAAGGCACTGGACTCTCACGTAGCCGACCATGGTTCGAGTCCTCGACCTGGCAGCTTGCTTTCTCACTTTCCCTTTCTCTAGCTCTCTGTCTCCCTAGTCAAATAAAAATAAATAAATAAAATTAAGTAATTCCTAAGAAAAGAAGGCTCATGGAAAGACAATCCGGAGGGAGGAGCAGAGCCTCGTGTGCCCTCTGAGAGGATGGGCCACGGAGCCAGTAGGGAAGGCTCAGGTTTCAGACCCCTGCTGCAGTAGGCCTGGAAGGGGTCTGGTGCCGTCCTTGCTGCGGGGCTCCCGAGCCCCTCCTGAGCTCGCAGGTGCTGAGTCCCAGCGAGTGAGCTCTGCCACCTTGCCGTCCCCTGTCCACCGCGGGCCCCCGGACGGGGCGAGGCTGCCTACTTACCGTGTTGTGGGTTCACGCCGATTACAGCAAGCCCTTTCATTTTGATTCTTCTTTCAAGATTCACTTCCTTTCTGCCTAAAGTTGGGGGTCCCTGGGGTGCCTCATGGGAGGCAGGGTACGTCAGGACTTTCTTCTGAGTTGAGGGTGCTGGGCAGGTGTCAGGTGGAGTGACCCAGGACGGGGCTCACAGCTGGGCTCTCCAGAGTCAGCCCCTGGAGAGAACTGCTGAGGGGCGAGCCCTTGCAGCAGGGCACCTGGGGGGCAGCCCGATCACCAGCCCTCTCTCCCCAGGGCACCCTCATCCAGCACCTGAAGGAGCACCTGCTTCACGGCAACACCGGCTGCAGCGACGTCCTCCTGTACTACACCACGGTACGGCCACGGCAGGGGCAGGTTGGCGTCCGGGTGGTTGTGGTGCGGGGTCCCACCTGCTGTCCTCGCGTGGGCTGGACACCGACGGCTCAGTGCCTGTGTGCCGCAGGGACTGTTCCTGCCTTGGGGACACCTGGGTGCTCTCCGTCTCCACGGCGGATGTCCTCGACAGGTCTCCCGCACGTGTGCGTCTGCACGGCCAGCTCTCAGAGGGCACGGCGGGTCAGGGCGTGTGTGTCCGAGTGGGCCGTCCCGCCAGCCTTGGCCAGCCGAGCTGAGCAGGCCAAAGGGCAGACCCGGGTGCTGGCCCAGGCCGCTTCAGCTGCGCCCCGGTCCTTGCAGGTCGGCTGGATGATGTGGAACTGGATGGTGTCTGCCCTCGCCACAGGGGCGTCCTTGGTCTTGTACGACGGCTCCCCCCTGGTCCCCACACCCAACGTGCTCTGGGACCTGGTCGACAGGATCGGGTCGGTACCCGGGACGCCACGCCAGGCTGACAGGACAAGGCTGGCAGAGGCAGAGAGCCTGTCCTCCGTGCACACTCAGGGTCGAGGGCGTGCGAAGGGAAGGGCAGCTGTTAGAAAACCCATCAAGGCCTGAGCGTGCCTGAGAAGGCGGGAGGGAGCCTCTCCCCACCCCCGTGCCCTCGCCTTGTGCCCAACATCCCAGGAGGAGAGTGGCGGAGAAGGGGCTGCTGCGTGGCGTCCCCCAGGGGTGATTTCTCACTATGCCTCTCTCTGTTTCTCTCTGGTGAGCTCATGTGCCCTATGGCAAAAATCTAAAAACGAAAAAAAATTAAGTGTAGGATTCGGGGAGGGAGTTGTGGTGTTACGGCCTTTTTGATGCCAGGAGACAGCATGCCCGCGGTGGGGAGAGCAGGAGCGCATACAGGTGACGCCTCAGGGGCAGGGAGCCCGAGCCTGCACGTGGGGACAGCGTGGCCACGTGGCGCGGTGTCCCTCAGCTCAGGGCACCGCGGCTCACGCCCGAGTCAGTACCGAGCGCGAGGCCGACCTGGAAACGCCGTAGCGGTTGCGGCACACGGTCAGACACCACTAGCTGAGGACACCCGCGGCGTGGGATGCCCAGGTACCTTGAAGTCTCTGACGTCCTTTCCCGTCTGGCCCCAGCATCACCATCTTTGGAACCGGGGCCAAGTGGCTGTCGGTGCTGGAAGAGAAAAACCTGAAGCCAGGTGAGCGCAGCTCTCCAGCCCTGCCCCAGAGGCGGCGGCGGCGGCAGCTCCCCGCGTGCCCAGGCTCCAGGGGGTGGTTTCACTTTAACCGCTGTCCCGCACCCTAGTGGAGACCCACAGCCTGCAGACGCTGCACACCGTCCTGTCCACCGGCTCCCCGCTGAAGGCCCAGAGCTACGACTACGTGTACACGCATGTCAAGAGCAGTGTCCTGCTAGGCTCCATCTCAGGTACGGCTCTGGTGCGGCACACCCACGGTGGGGACAGCCCTGCCTCCCCGCCTCCCGGTGGTCTGCCTGGCCTTGCTTGTGTGCCTGTGTGCACGTCAGTGTGTGCACACGTCAGTGCGCGCGTGCGTGCATGAGGTTGCCCCGTGCATGCATAAGTGTGCACCCGTGTGTTCACTTGTGTATGTACCTGTGCATACACATGTGTCACTGTGCATCCGTGTGTGTATGCCAGTGTGTGTGTGTGTGCCTATGTGTGCACACATGTCAGTGTGCGGCTGTGCATGCGTGAGTGCTCACCTCTATGTGTACACCTGTGTGTGCATGTCAGTGTGCACCCATGTGTGCATGTCACTGTGTGCATATGCATGCACACACATGCACATATTCACATGTGTACACATGCCAATGTGTACATATGCATGTGTGTGTGCACAAGCCAGTGTGCGCCCGGGTGTGTGTGAGTGTGCCTCTCTGTGTGTGCACCTGTGTGCACAGGGTGGCAGCAGGGGCTGTGTGGGAGGCTCCTACTGCCCCCTGCTTGCTAGCCCTCGGAGCCTGACTGCGCTCCAAGCTCCTGAGACAGCCCCGTGGTCCACACAGCTGGGAGGGCTTCTGCCTTCCCGACGCCTAAGCGAGTATAGACCAGAGCCCTCCGCGTGATCCGCCGCCAGGCAGTGCCTGTGGGTGGACACTGTGGAGCGAGGCCCCCGCTCTCCCCACCCGGTCTGGAGTTTCACAAGAGGTCACTCATTTACAGGGTCTGGCAGGAAAACTGGGTCAGAAGCAAATCAGGGTGGCTGGGAAGCAGCTCCAGCCGTGGGACTCCCTGCGGGGCAGCAGGTTTTGTCCTCGGACCTTTCCCCACCGTCGTTTGCTGATTAAAAACCAAACACACAAGCCCAGCGTCCTGCCCCGGGCTTCCGGGTTCCGAACCCCTCGCCTTTGCTCACAGGTGGCACTGACATCATCTCCTGCTTCATGGGCCAGAACCCGACCATCCCTGTGTACAGGGGGGAGATCCAGGCGCGGAACCTGGCCATGGCTGTGGAGGCCTGGAGCGAGGAAGGTGACGGCCTCCTGGGTTTCCTCTGGGCTTCGGGAAGGGCAGCAGCTGGGAGTCCTGGGGGGTGCCGGGCCTGGTGACGGGCCTGCATGCCGCCCTGAGAGGGACCACCCTGAGAGGGACAGCGGAGCGAGGGCCCCTGCCCAGCCTGGTGACGGGTCTGCACGCCGCCCTGAGAGGGGCAGCGGAGCGAGGGCCCCTGCCCAGCCTGGTGACGGGCCTGCACGCCGCCCTGAGGGGGACAGCGGAGTGAGGGCCCCTGCCCAGCCTCCTCCCATAGCCCCGGACGCCCGCCGGCGTTGGCCGGAGCTCAGACCGACG